CCCCAAAACCCCAAAACCCCAAAACCCCAAAACCCCATGGTTGAACGATAATAATCTAGAAATAGATAAGTTTAATCAATATGAAAAGAATGGATTTGTTAAGATTATGGATAATTTGTATCATGTCGTTACTGCCTTAATTAGCTATTGCATGGACTGACGTTTCGACAGTTAGTTAGTGCTTTACCTGTGTAACAGCAGGCAGCAAAGTTTGTAGAGATTTTGCCAATGAACGAAGTGCCTATTGCTGTGGATCAGCAGAAAGTAATAGAGCTTGTAATGATAGAGATTTTTGTTCAAACAATGTTGCATCACTTTCTATGTAAATGTTTGCTTGCCCTTTTAATTACAATTACTGTGGCGGCTCTAGTTCTGTAATTAAGCTCAGAGATACTAATCAATACACTATCAATTTGGACTATAACAAGAATAGACAGTTTACAAATTAAACTATCTGCTATTGGTAGTTATCAGTTGACACCAGTGTGTTTGACTTGACGAAATACCAATACTTTATCAATGTTGATGTGTAATCATACACAGGTCTCTACATGCATCTTAACAATGGTACATCTATTAAAAGTTCAGGTGATCACATCTAAATTAATGGGATTAACACTGGAACTAATTACTCATATTCAGCAATAAACAACACAGTGTACATAATTATAGCAGCCTTCGATCTAAAACCTAATATAAATTTTACATACAAGTTATTCCGACTCAATCCAACACAGTCAAACATAAGCACGAATATAACTATTCCTAATGTCACCACTCCAAATATTACTACAAATGTTAATGTCACAGTCAAATCTTCAATCAACTTAGGAAATCCCTAACCAGTATATGGAATACTGGTGCTTATGGCCTTAATTGTCTGTGGTGTAATTGTGTTTGTTGTAACAGACTGGATCACTTCTGCCAAAAACCCTAAGGAATATGAGATATTTGATGAACCTGCAGAAAAGCAAACTAATAGAGATTTTCATGGTACCAATAGATTATTTTTAACTAACGCTGAGGGAACATTAGGAAATGAGCACAATAATCATATAACAGAAATGAATCTTATTGGTAAAGAGGATGATGATGAAATCAAAATTGAGGATACATCTATGTTCTATTAGTAAGAGAGAAATCTGACTACGGTTCATGATACATCTACTAATGCTATTCTTAATACATACGAAATATAAAAGCAAAAAGCATTTTCTAGAGTTCATCCAATCGAAATAACACTTCCTTAATCTTAAATTGTACCCAAGTATGAAGATCCTAAAATTTAAAGTAAAGCATCTTTCTGGAGCAGATTTAAAGGAAACAAAAACTCTAAAGCTTAAGAAAATGTAAGAAGATTTTCTATTCTTGACTAAAACTCTGGAATTATGATTCCAGTTAGTGTGCAAGACCCTCAATTCAGGCTGAACAACGAATAAATATAGGATATCAAGAAAAAAACCAAATTCGGGGCGACAAGTACTGTAACTATGCAAGTGACAGATTCCAAACAAACTGGGATTAAAATATTTGGAGAGATGTAGTGATTATCAAATAAACTTACTCTCATTGTTGTATGAAATTGATATATTTGTTGCAATGAAACAATAATATATAAACGAAAGTATTTATTATTAGTATTTTAATTTATACAAAATAAAAAAGAAATTGGTTGGCGGGGTTTTGGGGTTTTGGGGTTTTGGGG